AGGCCTAGGTGAGAGAATCACTTAAGCCCAGGAGTTTGAGACCAGCCTGGCAACAAAGCGAGATCCCCCCGCATCTCTATAAGAAAAAATAAAAATCAGCTAAGCATGCTGAGGCACACCTGTGGTCCCAGCTACGCGGAAGGCTGAGACAGAAGGATTGCTTGAGCCCAGGAATTCAAGGCTGCTGTGATCTATAGTGCAGCCACTGCACTCTGGCCTTGACAACAGAGTGACACTGTCTCAAAAAACAAACAGAAAACAAAACAAAAAAAAGTTAGACTTTATTTTATTATCAAAAATAAAACTCAGGCCAGGCACGGTGGCTCATGATTGTAATCCCCGCACTTTGGGAGGCCGAGGCGGGTGGATCACCTCAGGTCGGGAGTTCGAGACTAGCCTGACCAACATGGAGAAACTCCCATCTCTACTAAAAATACAAAATTAGCCAGGTGTGGTGATTCGTGTCTGTAATCTCAGCTACTCGGGAGGCTGAGGCAGGAGAACTGCTTGAACCAGGGAAGGGGAGGTTGTGGTGAGCCACGATTGCATCATTTGCATTCCAGCCTAGGCAACAAGAATGAAACTCCATCTCAAAAATAAATAAACAAATAAATAAATAAAACTCATGGTCATACTAATAGTATTGAGATTAATAATGTGACAGTTAATAGCATCACTGGCTGGTCTGAATCCCACCTCTGCCACTTTCCAGCTGTTTAACATTAGACAAATTATGTAACTTTTCTGTGGAAGATTCCTTGTCTATAGAACAGGGATAAGCCTCACAAAGTTACTGCCAGGATTAAATGAATTTATAGATGAAATTACTAAAACTGAGCCTGAAACTTGACATATACTTCATAGTGTGAGCTGCTATCATTCACATTATAATAATTACTATTAGAAATAATTTTCATCACTATCTCATCTTATTTCAGTACATTTCCAAAGAAGCAAAGGTACTTTAGATTTGGTTTGTTATAATCTCTTATAATCTGGTCTCATATAAATTTCTGCATTTTGACAAGTAAAATGGAACAGCTCTTTGGGAGGCCAAGGTGGATGGATCACCTGACGTCAGAAGTTCGAGACCAGCCTGGCCAACATGGTGAAACCTCATCTCTACTAAAAATACAAAAAATTAGCTGGGCATGGTAGTGGGTGGCCCCCTGTGAAATCGCAGCTACTCGGGAGGCTGAGGCAGGAGAATCGCTTGAACCCGGGAGGCGGAGGTTGCAGTGAGCCGAGATTGCACCATTGCACTCCAACCTGATCAACAGAGCAAGACTCTGTCTCGGGGAAAAGAAAAAAAAGGAAAAAGGAAAAAGGAACAGCTCCATTGGGTTTAATTACAATTCCTTCTCACATTCATTTTCAAGCTTCAAGAAAATGGCTGTTTCAACACTGGGTCTGGTTTTCTACTTAAGTGTTCTGAAAGGATTTATTGAAAACCCCAAATTGGCTGGAACATTCCTGCTGCTTACCTTTCAGCAGAGTAACTGTGAGTCAGTATGGTGGATATCCATTTGGTTTCAATTTGCTAATACACACAAACACTTCATTGTACAATCAATGGCAACAGGATCACAGTGATCTAAAAGCACATTGTTTCTGCTCCTTGATTTTTCTGTTCTACTTCTAACTCTGTGGAGATTAAGTTTCTTGTCCCCCTCAAGACACATCTCTCAATTTATCGAGAGCATCCCAAAAAATTAGTTGCTATTAAGTTTTCTGTAAAACATAATACGGTAGAATCAAATTAGTCTTCTTAACTCGGGCTGCTATAATAGTAATACCACCAGATGGGGTGTCTTGAACAACAGAAATTTGTTTTCTCACTGTTCTGCAGGCTGGAATGTCCAAGATAGAGGTGCCAGCTGATCTGCTTCCCAGCAAGGGCCCTCTTCCTGGCATCCAGATGGCCATATTCTCTTGTACCTCACATAGTGAGGACAGTTCCAGTGTCTCTTCCTCTTTTTTTTGAAAGAGTTTCGCTCTTGTTGCCCAGGCTGGAGTGCAATGGTGTGATCTCGGCTCACTGCAACTCCCCCTTCCTAGGTTCAAGTGATTCTCCTGCCTCAGCCTCCTGAGTAGCTGGGACTACAGGCACCTGCAACCACCCTCGGCTAATTGTTTTTTGTGTTTTTAGTAGAGACGGGGTTTTACCATGTTGGCCAGGCTGGTCTCAAACTCCTGACCTCAGGTGATCCACCTGCGTTGGCCTCCCAAAGTGCTGGGATTACAGGTGTGAGCCACCATGCCTACGGCATCTCTTCCTCTTTCTCTAAGGGCACCACCTCTCCTGGATTAGGATCCCACTCTTAGGACCCCGTTTAACCTTTATCACCTCCTCACCAGCCCTGTCTCCACACACAATCAAATTATGGGTTGGGGTTTCAATCTATTAATATAGAATGACCCAAGTATTCAGACCATAAAATTCTTCTAACCAGTCAAATATAAAACTCAAATTCAAATCCAGAATGTTTCTGGTTACATTAGTTTTTTTCCATTCAGATACAGAGAAACATTCAGTATAAAAGGTAATTTAGTTGTTAACTCAGACTGAAAAATCTGGATGCATACCTCAGTTATCAAGCTCATTGACACAGGATGATAAAAGCTCAACAATGTGCCCTGTCTTTTCGCTAAGACTAAACAGATCCACTTTTCTCTAAGACACATTATGCAACACAGGGTGAAAGGAATTAACAACCGCTTCCCCGCTGGGTGGGACTGACTGCCTACATAAAAGGATTCTCTTTTTCAATGTATCCTCGGTATTGGCCTCGTTTCTTAAAAGTATGTGCACAGGCCGGGCGCGGTGGCTCACGCCTGTAATCCCAGCACTTTGGGAGGCCAAGGCAGGTAGATCACGAGGTCAGGAGTTCAAGACCAACCTGGCCAACATGGTGAAATCCCGTCTTTACTAAAAATACAAAAATTAGCCAGTCCTGGTGGCAGGTGACTGTAGTCCCAGCTACTTGGGAGGTTGAGGCAGAGAACTGCTTGAACCCAGGAGGCGGAGGTTGCAGTGAGCCGAGATTGTGCCACTGCACTCCAGCCTGGGCGACAGAGCAAGACTCTGTCTCCCAAAAAAAAAATAAATAAATAAAAGTATGTGCACGTAGGTTTTCTGGAATTCAAGCGCCACGAAATTCAGAGAATCATACCAGGAACAGCAGTTACTCAGAAAATGAGGTGAGCTCCAAATTGTCCCTAGAAAGGCAAGGACTGGAAAAGCTGACAGAGTCTTCGATTCTCAGACACTTACACTTTCCAGATGTGAAGCCGAAGCCTAGGGAGAGTGAAAGACTTGCTCAGGCAGTGTATTGGGGCCAGAGTGGAACCAAAACACAGGGCTCCTAAAAAACAGTAGGCCAGGCGCCAGGGACCACACTCCTATGCCACCAAGCAACAGGTGTTCCTCACAGAGGAGGAGGGGAGCTCCACGGTCTCTGCAAACACCATGAGCCTTACTGGACAACTACAGTAAGGACCAGAGCTTTTTCTTCCCCACCAAGGGACAGGGTTTTGCTCTGCTGCCCAGGCTGGAGTACAGTGGCATGATCATAGCTCACTGCAGCTTTGAACTTCTGGTCTCAAGTGATCTTCCTGCCTCAGCCTCCTGAATAGCTGGAACGACAGGTGCACACCATCATACCCAGCTAAAATACATTTATTTGTTTATTTTTCGTAGAGACAGGGTCTTGCTTTCTTGCCCAGGCTGGTCTTCAACTCCTGGCCTCAAGTGGTCCTCCCACCTCGGCCTCCCAAAGCACTAGGATTTCAGGCATAAACCACCGCACCCAGCCAGGACCAGAGCTTTCATCTCACTCACGCCTTGACTCCCCAAGTGTGGCAATATCCCAAATAAGAATCACTGTTTCTCCCAGTGGCTTTTGGCTTGTTTTTCTCCCAAATGATGAACACTCTGAACTAATGAATTCCTCTTTCCATCTAGTTCCTCTGGGGATGGAGATGGACATGTGCTGCAAATCCCTCTTCTTCCACTCACACCTCTGTGGTCATGTCTCCTTGACCTTGACGCCAGGCCTGAATCTAAATAAACAGCCCGTAAAACATTTCTGTGCATTATAGGCTTTCACGCTTGAGGCTTCACGATAGGGTTGAAAAATGAAACCCACAAATACTAAATGGGAGGGAGATACAGAGATCTTCTGGGATTTGCTAGCTTTCACTAGTTTCCGTAAAACATTCTCACATGTGTGGGCACATAACTATTTTTATAAGGGAACCTACTTCTAAATTGATTTGACATGACTTGAATGTGTTCAGGGTTGTACCTGCAGAAATAAGGTGTGTTCTCTGCAACATGTTCTCAGTCATCTGCAATGGCTAGTAGGCTTTTCATCCCTGTGACACAGGGCTGACTTTTCCATTTCTTTTGAACACAAATCTATACATCTGCCAAATGTAGTATGATACTTAATAGCTACTCTTGAGGCGCTCAGATTTCATTGGCCTTACATGACTTTAAAATTACAAATTACAAGATACAAGCCAACATAAAGGTTCAGATTAGAAAAATTTTAACTTTTTAGTCACCCTCATATCCCCCTAAATCTATAATACATCTTTCAGTAAAATTTTTAAAAAATTAATCTCTTCACCTGTATTGACAGCATATTACGGACCTACAGTACAACATTTTGGTATTGTTAAGCACTTAAACATTTGAAAAAAATGAATGAAATGATTCAAACTGACAACAGCCACCCAATTATATATTTATGTACACATCCTTCTGAATAGCTTATAAGATGGTTTATACCCCTATACCTCTTCTCCTCAACTAGCCTCTGCCTTGCTCAAAGATAAGGGACGTGCTGTCATCTTGTTTTTCTACCTTCTCTGCTCAGGATGCTGGTCCACAAAAGGCTAAATGCTTTAGTGACAGAATGCATTAAACCTATAATCATGACTGTCAAATTTTACATTCAAACAACTCATAAACTATTGAACTATTTTATTCTTACCAGAACTGGACACACGCCTGATCCTCTGAGGAGAGACGGCTCGATCAGCACTGAGATTTCTACTGTCGCTGTTCCGCCTCAAACAGGAAACAGGGGGCCCCACTTTGGCTTTTGGTGCAGCTATTTGCCTCAAACCGCAGGAGTCAGGCTTGGATATATTCCTGCCTGAGGTGGTCGTCGTTTTTGAAGCAGAGCCCTGTGAAAATAACAGTTAAGACTGTCAACCGAAAATAAAATTCTAAGCCCCCAGTTGATTGAATGGCCCCCTCCTCTAGGCCAAGCGCATTCCAAAGAAACCTACAACACAAGTTCAGGCCATGATGGGAAAGCGGTCAGACATGCCTCATTACACTCTCCTCCTTTTAGAATTCAGGCACAACTGACCAGCATTACCATTAAAACAGAGACCTTAAGTTAGACAAAACAGACTCTTTATAGCAAAAAGACACCAAATTCCAGCCTGACTCTGGTATGGCATCACATGACAGACAGCGAGCCCTGAAGGAAATTGAAGTATATTACCCCAAAATATTTTTCTTTAACACATTATGAAAAGGCCCTGCAAAGCTGTCTCTTGTGGGGGCAAATTTACATTCCATAGAGAATCTTCTTCCTTTCCCCGATCTTTGTCTGGTCCCAAAGAAATCAGCTGAGAGTCTAGCACCTTTTAACAGTGTAAATAGGTAATATTTGCCATCTATGGCCTCTAAAGGCAGCCACCTGAGGTTTCATCTACGTAATAAGAACCTTGGTCTCCACACCCCCTTACCCCCTTATCTTAACCGAGACCCTGCTTTCTATTGATTCCAGGTCTTTAGATAATAACTTCTTTTTTTTTTTTTTGGAGACGGAGTCTCGCTCTGTGGCCCAGGCTGGAGTGCAGCGGCATGATCCCGGCTCACTGCCACCTCTGCCTCCTGGGTTCAAGTGATTCTACCGCTTCAGCCTCCTGAGTAGCTGGGATTACAGGCACATATCACCATCAATCTTTTTGCTTTTAGTAGAGACGGCTAATTTTTGTATTTTTGTAGCTATTTTTTTTTTTGGTATTTTCTTTTTAGTAGACATGGGGTTTCACCATGTTTTCTTTGTGTGTGTGTGTGTATGTGTGTTTTTTGTATTTTCAGTAGAGACGCGGTTTCACCGTGTTGGTCAGGCTGGTCTTAAACCCCAGACTTCGTGATCTGCCTGCCTCGGCCTCCCAAAGTGCTGGGATTACAGGCGTGAGCCAATAACTTAACTCTTTCAACCAATTGCCAATCAGTAAATCTCTGAATCCACCTATGATCTGTAAGTCCCTACTTCATGATGTCTCATCTTTCCAGACCAAACTAATCTATATCTCAAATGTATGGACTGATGTCTTTTGTCTCCCTAAAATGGATAAAATCAAGCTGTAACCCAACCACCTACACACTTGTTCTCAGGACCTCTAGAGGATGTGTCATCAGCCATGGTCCTCATATTTGACTCAGAATAAGTCTCTTCACATATTTTAGAGTTTGGCTTTTTTCATTAATAAAATTTTAATCCAGATCATACCTTCCTCATATCACTTCCCTGTGGTATTAGCTATGTGAAGGGAACAATTTCTAAGTGGACGTGTACAGTTGTCCGTTGGTATCAAAAATGATTGGTTCCAGGACCCTCGCAGATATCAAAATCCATGGACACTCAAATAAATCTCTTACATGAAATAGTGTAGGGTTTGCATATAACCTACGCACATCCTCCCGTGTACTGTAAATCATCTCTACATTACTTACAACGTCTACATATTACTTGTTTCAGGTGGATTCAACATAGTATTCAGCATGTAGGAAGTTCAAGTTTTGCTTTTTGAAATATTGCGAATTTTTTTCCTGAGTATTTTCAATCCAAGGTTGGCTCAATCCACAGATGTGGAACCCAGATACAGAGGGCTGACTGTATTCAATTTTCATTTTTACTATGAAGCCATTAAAACTCTTCATGGCTTACTCTTTAATTCACTGTATTCTGCCTTTGTACCCATTAGTGAGAATGTACGCAAGATCGCCAGTATCACAAGTTAAATTCAAGCTAGTTTTCAATCCTTTCCCTGGGGGCTCTCTCTACAGCATCCAGCGCTAACAACTCCATTCTCTGGTTTCCTGACAAAGCTCTTTCCTGGTTTTCCTTCTACCTGTCTGGGCATTCCTTTTCTGGGTCCTATTCTTCTTTACTTTTGGAGGCTAGTGATAGAATTTGGATCTGTGTCCCCACCCAAATCTTGTATGGAATTGCAATCCCCACTGTTGGAGGAGGGGCCTGGTGGGAGGTGACTGGATCATGGAAGCAGATTTCTCCCTTGCTGTTCTCCTAAGAGTGAGTTCTTACAAGATTTGCTTGTTTACAAGTGTGTGTCACCTTCCCCCTCATTCTATTCCTCCTTCTCCAGTCATGCAAGACATGTTTGCCTTTGGGTCTGGACTGTAAGTTTCCTGAGGCTTCTGCAGCCTTGCTTCCTGTACAGCCTGTGGAACTGTGAGTCAATTAAACCTCTTTTCTTTATAAATTACCCAGTCTCAGGTAGTTCTTTATATAGCAATGTGAGAACAGACTATTACAGCTAGTCTTCATGAAGACTTAGCCTCGGCCCTGTTCTCCTTCCTCACCATGTACTCTTCCTACATGATTCTGGCTGCTGTTTCAATTGCCACGCGTACACTGGTACATCCAAATCCACATGTCCAACCAGTACTCTCTCCTGAGTTTCCCATATACCTAACTTCCTCTTCACCTTCCAACTCAGCATCCTTTAAGTACCTCTATGAATTAGTCTATTTTCACAATGCTGATAAAGTCGCATGTGAGACTGCGTAGTTTATAAAGAAAAAGAGGTTTAATGGACTCATAGTTCCACGTGGCTGGGGAGGCTTCACAATCATGGTGGAAGGTGAAAGTTTCATCTTACATGGCAGCAGACAAGAGAGAATGAGAGCCAAGCGAAAGGGGTTTCCCCTTATACAACCATCAGATTTCATGAGACTTATTCATTACCTCAATAACAGTATGGGGGAAACTACTCCCATGATTCAATTATCTCCCACCAGGTCCCTCCCACAATGCATGGGAATTATGGGAGCTACAATTCAAGATGAGATTTGGGTGGGGACACAGCCAAACCATATCACTCTACTTAACTCACTAACCTATAGCCCTTATAGAATACTATTCTAAATTCTAAGTATATGTATCAACTCACTTAACCCTCATAAGAATCCTGTGAAGTTGGTAGGTTTATTGTACCCCAGTTTACAAAACAAGACCGTGAAGCATTTTCTAAAATTAAACTTACTTTCCTATCTACCTCAAAACTTATCTCTTCCCATGTTCACCACAACATACCCAGGCACCCAGCTTCAACAATGAAAGCTATTTCTCTTTTCCATCTGCTGTCATTCCTCACCAAGATTACTGAAACCATGTCATCAGGATCTTTCTAGTCTCTCCAGCTTTCAATTCATCTTTTATCTGCCTGCTAGGGCAATCTCTCTCAAACTCAAATAGGGTTAGACATCTTCCGTCTGTCTTTCAGATGACATCTCTTCTGCACAAGGCCCAGCAATCCTTTTGCACATGGAAGCCCCTGCCATCCTCTTCACCTTATTCCCTACTGCTCAGGGTTCTATACACCCAGCTCCCTTCGCACCCACTACCTAGAGTCCCCTAAATGAGAAAATGTTCTCATATTTCTTCATCTTTGTACGTGGTATTCCTCTACCCAGAATACTTGCCCTTCAAGTTCCAGCTAGTGACAACACGTGATGTCCCCTATAAGCCTTCCTTGACAACTATACCCATCACCACACTTTTTTCCCCCTCCTGCAGCACAGCAGTCTACTCACACTCCCAACTTAGCAATCAACACACCCTTGCTGGTTTACTTTCTCATATTCATAGAAGCAGGAGGCAGAGAAATTCTAGGCAGACAGGGGCAGCTCCCCAGCAAAACCCCACCTTCAAGGCAAAACCCCTGAAACCCGCGGCTCAAAGTGAGAACTTCTATCCCTGTTTACCTGCTCTCTCCTAATTAGTTCTTTCTGAATCATGTCTTTTTACCAATCGAATGTTGCCTTTTCCAAAACTATCTATGGCCTGCCCCGCCCCCACATCCCATTCCCGTAAAGACCCCAGACTCACTCGGTAGAGGACACAAGCGGCTTGACTGATGTATTAGCCCATTTTTACGCTGCTAATAAAGACATATATGAGACTGGGCAACTTACAAAAGAAAGAGGTTTAATTGGACTTAGAGCTCCACATGGCTGGGGAAGCCTCACAATCATGGCGGAAGGTAAGGAGGAGCAAGACATGTCTTACATGGACGACAGCAAAGAATGCTCGTGTAAGACAACTCCCCCTTATAATAACCATCAGATCTCCTGAGACTAAATCACTATCATGAAAACAGCATGGGAAAGACCTGCCCCCCATGATTCATTTCCCTTCCACTGGGTCCTTCCCACAACATGTGGGAATTCAAGACGAGACTTGGGTGGGGTCACAACCAAACTGTATCAACTGGAGACTTCAGAGAACAGCTGAGTCTACCGTCATATCATCCTGAACATACCCAATCTCGTCTGATCTTGGAAGCTAAGCAGGGTCAGGCCTGGTTAGTACTTGGATGGCAGACCGACAGCTGGACTTTGGAGGAGAGATGGCTTAACTTTGGAGAAAAGCTGACTGGAGATGGCCAGACTTCAGAGAAGATTATCTGCCCATCCTGTCCCCTCTTCAGCTTCCCTCTCTGCTGAGAGCCACTTCCATCGCTAAATAAAATTATCCACCTCCACCATCCTTCAAGTGTCCATGTGACCCAATTCTTTTTGGACAGCAGACAAGAGCTTGGGACCAAGTTTGGGTACCCAAAAAAGGTTGTCACAATGACCCTTTGCCCTCGCTGCTGGAGGGCAGCTCTCCCACACCATGAGGCAAAGGGCCCACTGAGCTGATGACACACCACTGTCCATGGATGGTGGAGCCAAGAGAGCACTGTAACATGCCCTCTGGGGCTTTGGGGGTCACAGACACCACCACCTGGGCACCACTGTGGGGCCCACACAGAGCCTGCTCCTGCCGGCACTCAAAGTGGCTGGTTGGATCCTGTACTCACTTGCCCAAACACTCCTGCCCGCAAGAGGTTGAGCATGGCGGGCTGAATAAATGGGGTGCCCCCACTGCAAGATTTACAAAGGGGTTGAGAAAAACTCCTGCATCAGTATTACCCACTGCACTAGGCATTACATTTAGACACGGTCTCTTTTTTCCCTATACCCTAACAATCATCACCATCTACATAATACACAGTAGGCACCCAATAAATGTTTCTATTCTACATAGAGGAAATGGGAGCCTGAGCCTTACAGTGTGAATTCCAACATCAAACTATAATTTGCATTCTCCCTTTACATTAATGTAAAGCAATAATAAAATTCTAAGCCCCCCAACCATCTGAAAGGACCACTTCTTTTGGCCAAGGGCATTCCAAGGTTAACCTTAAAAACTAGGTCAGGATATGAAAGGAAGGGGGAATCAGACATAATTATACTCTCGTCCCAGGTTGGAATTCAGGCACAGCTGACCAGCATTAACATCAACATAGACCTTAAGACTGACAGAACAGATGCTTTTAAGTCTGTTAAGAAACATTTACTATCAACTCCCCCTGAAGCAGGCTACCTGAAGGTTTCACCTGCATGATAAAACCTTGGTCTCCACAGCTCCTTACCTTAACCCAGACATTCTTTTTTGTTGATTCCAGGTCTTCAACTCTTTGAACCAACTGCCAATTAGAAAATCTTTAGGCTGGGGGCAGTGGCTCAAACCTGTAATCCCAGCACTTTGAGAGGCCAAGGCGGGCAGATCACATGAGGCCACAAGTTCAAGACCAGCCTGGCCAACATGACGAAACCCCGTCTCTACTAAAAATACAAAAAAATTAGCTAAGTGTGGTGGTCCTCACCTGTAAACCCAGCTACTCAAAAGGCTGAGGCAAGAGAAATCACTTGAACCCGGGAGGCAGAGACTGCAGTGAGCCGACACATCACACCACTGCACTCCAGCCTGGGCAACAGAGAATCTGTCTCAAAAAAAAAAAAAGAAAAAAAATATTTAAATCTGCCTGTGACCTGGAAACTGCCTCCACTTCCAGTTGTCTCTCCTTTCTAGACAGAACCAATGTATACCTTACGTGTACTGATTGATGTCCCATGTCTCCCTAAAATGTGTAAAACCGAGCTGTACCTGGGTCACCTTAGGCACGTCTTCTCAGGATCTCCTAAGAGCTGTATCATGGGCCATTGGTCACTCATATTTGGCTCAGAATAAATCTCTTCAAATATATTACAGAGTTTCACGCTTTTTTGACACAAAGAACAAATGAGCCCAACAGAGACTTAGTAACCTGCCTGAGGTCACTTTGCTCAGTAAATGGTGGAGCTACAATTTGAAACTACTCCAAAATCCGTGCTTGTAAAGCAGCATATTCCCCACCATCACTTTTCTTTCTTTAATAAAGCACAAGTGTTAATTTCCAATAGAGATACATAAAGCCCAACGCTGATGGCAGAATTCATACATTAGGTGAATTCAACAATAACTTAGCAGGCCAGTCACCCATGAGAACAGCTGGAGGTCATGTTTTGGCACTGGAGAACAATACAGAATTGGCCAAGAAAAGCAAGCGACTGTACACAAACTAACAAAGATCTTCTGTCTCTGGGTAGGTTCAATGAAAGCTGGCTAAATGCATCTCCCAGAGAAAAATCTTCTTTTAAAAAGTAACCCAAAAGTTAATCTCCCAGAGAAAACCTTCTTTTAAAAAGTAATGCAAACTTCTCATCAATTTACAAAAGTGAATCTTCAGCAAATCACTTATTTTGCCTTTCAGAGCCAACATTCCAAAAATTTTGAAACCCTACGGTGTATGGAGCAGAAAAGGCCAGGATTCAAGCGAGGGCTCTGCATGTGAAGTTCAATTTTACTGCTTACCAGCTGTGTGAGTTTTAAGTGGCCTGGCTGAAGTATTAAAATGACAACAATTGCCCTGTTGTTACTGGGAAGAGTAAATAACAATGTATGTAAAGCACCTGAGCGTTACAGGCCTATTAAACGACCTAATATACCTAAGGCACCTGAGCAAAGTGCCCGACCCAGAGCAAGGACTGAATAAACATCAATTCCTTTCCTTTTAGGTAAGTCTCCACTCCCTTTATCTCACACGCTATCATGAATACACAATCTCTGTTGTGAGAAGCTACATCTAGCCCCCTGTTTCAAATAAAAATCAAGTTCCTTCTTCCAAATAAAAACTTTTCTAATGATTCAGACAAAACCTGACCACCAAAGAGCTGTGAAGCTGCAGGCAGCCTAGGGATTCAGTAAATTCAAGGCCGAAGGTAGGTCAACAGAGCAACAGCAAAAATTAACATCCGGCTGGGTGTGGTGGCTCACGCCTGTAATCCCAGCACTTTGGGAGGCCAATGCGGGCGGATCACTTGAGGTCAGGAGTTTGAGACCAGCCTGGCCAACATGGTGAAACCCCATCTATAACAAAAATACAAAAAATTAGCCAGGCGTATGCGCCTGAAGTCCCAGCTACTCGGGAGACTGAGGTGAGAGAATTCCTCGAACCTGAGAGGCAGAGGTTGCAGTGAGCCGAGACTGTATCACCGCACTCCAGCCTGGGTGACAGAGCAAGACTCCATCTCAAAGAAAAAGAAAATTAACATCCCTCCAGGATGGTCTCCTCATCAATCCAGGGCAACAAGAGCCTCTGAGTGCTGCTGAAGTGACCAACAGACGTTAACTTTTCAGGAAAACACTCAGCGAATTCATTCAGCTCTCTACAGTAAGTGCAAAGCCTAGTGGCCTATGAGGGTCTCCCAGACACTTTCCCGTCCTCCTTCCCAGAGTCATGGAAATGTGAAAGAGAGAAACTAGCAAAATCAGAGAGCACCGTGCTTCAGACATGATCATGAAAAAAGAGTAGGCCGGGCGCGGTGACTCACGACTGTGGTCCCCGCACTTTGGGAGGCTGAGACAGGCGGATCATGAGGTCAAGGGATCGAGACCAACCTGGACAACATGGCGAAACCTCGTCTCTACTAAAAATACAAAAATTAGCTGAATGTGGTGGTGCACGCCCGTAGTCCCAGCTACTTCAGAGGCTGAGGCAGGAGAATTGCTTGAACCCAGGAGGCGGAGGTTGCAGTGAGCCAAGATTGTGCCACTGCACTCCAGCCTGGGGACAGAGTAAGAACAAGACTCCGTCTTTAAGGAAAAACAAAAGAAAAAAGAGTAAGTCCTTTATGCCAGTTGTCAAGCAAAAGTGACAGCACTGTGAATATGGGACAATCTTTCAGGACTTACAAAGTATTTCATATCTAATTACGAATCCTAATTGCTAGATTCCTAAGGCGAAAAGTGCTGCTTCTCCAAGATGTACTAGGATCCATTTCAACCTGATGATTCTATCACCTTACTTCAATACCACATCGGGAGCCTGAAGAACAGGCTTTCAAGTTGCACAGGGGCAATATAACCCTAAGACTAAATACACAAATCAGGAAAACTTTTAGTTTCAAAATTACACAATTACACAACCAATTTAAACTCAAGACAAATGTCATTTAAAAAAAAAAAAACTTTATGCGTTTTTGGTAGCTGGGCACTGACACACCAAAAAAAGTCTCCCATATATCAAGAGAATAAACATTGTGTTTCTACGTGTATCTATAAATGCCAAACTAAGAAAGTTGATTAGAATTAAGAGCATGTTGTAATTTAATTTTGCAAAAAAATTAAAATTATAAATGAGTTTTCTAAGTTTGACTTTAAGATAACTTAAAAACTAAACCTGAGTTTTGAAACTATGGATGAACTTATTAGTTTAGAAATCACTGTGGTATACCCTTCTTGCAAACAGAGAAGACTGGTTGTTAAAGCCCAAACATGTCTAAACTGATGTTTTAGAGAATCAAGAATATCTTCAGTCTTTCCTAACCTTGTCTTCTAAAGGAACCTGACAATTCCCTCCTGTGTGGCCCCTATGCACCCCGAAGACACACACCTAAGTCAGCCCTTCCGCACTTGCTATTCCATGTGCTTCATTCCTCTTGCCATGAGCCCTCCGAGGGACAGGCTGGTTGTGTCACACCTGCCTTTCTCCCCTGGCACCTACCTCCCTTCCTGACCCAGAGGACAGGCACCCAAGGACAGCCTGTCTGGAGCTGAAAATACACCTAAGTCCCCACTGCCAAAAATAGGGCCGAGGACACACACCCAATGGCCAACAGTGGCCTGTCAAAAATGTTTTTAAAACTCAGAAAACCAATTTCTTCACACTATTCTCAAAAATATATGCATGTTTAAAGGAAAATCACCTTTACACTGCATGTGAATTCTTTATTCTTTACATAGAAGTCTCTAGGTGCTTCCCAAATATTTTAGACAGGTGCTACGGAAAACATACTGGTTTTTCACTATACACGAGTAAAAGATATTTTATTTTATGTACCAGGAATTAATACATTAAGAGTACAAGAGGTTTCACACATCCACTAGGTCCAATCCTTTCATCTTTGGGTCTCAAAAAATCACTTGTCCAAAATCATTCTTAGCTGGTCAGAGGAAAAATCAAGAACGCTCTTGCTCATACAAGAGGGCTCTACTTCCCGGAGCTGCCACCTCCACAAGAGTCCAGGAGTTATTTTTATGTTGACATGTTTACCAGCACTCCCAAGCCCTTTCTTAAATGTTGTCCAACACATTTTAAAGTTGACAACCCAACGTTTTCAGAAAAATAAAATATAACCTGATTGTATCCGGCATTTAAACTATTAATTATACTAAAATATTAAAGTAGCTTCATTTTTTCAGCACACTATTAAAAAGAACGGTGATACTTGATACAAAATACTGACATTGAGGATTTTTTTTCCCATATGCAGGTTTGTTATATTGAAACCTATTAACACCCTAATACATACTGACAAGACAATGAATTAACAACTAAATGTACATCTGCCCACCTAGTCCTGCAATATTATTAACCAACAGATAACTAATTGCTAACACATCTCAGTTTTCTCCACAGTTCTCTGAAGCTTGCAAAAAAATGTATATATTACTTACCAAAAACAGAGAACTATATTCAAAAGTCTCATTCATAATCTCTGGTTTCAGCTCTTGTTTTTCCATAGACGTCCCATTTTCTTTTTCACCCTTCTTTTCAGGGCTATTCCTATCAATGTGGGGAACGTATGTCATTTCCAAACATTCTGCACTTTCCATTTTAACAGGGAGTATGCCTTTGATCTTCTGAAACAACGCAGAAACGGACCCGGTCTCACATGCTGAGTTAGAAGAACTGGCTTTGTCAACATCCTCCTGATTCGATTTCACGGCAGATGTTGTTCTTGGAACCCTGTGTGAAGCATTTTTAGCATGAGTTGTAACATGCACAGCCTGGCCAGTAATGAGTTTATTAAACTGCTGCTTATGCGTCTTGTTAATTAGAATTTCTGCTTTTTTGTCTGCATTCAAGTCAGCTCTTGGTGTTCTGCTCAAGACTGTTGGCTGTCTTGAGGAAACCACTGATGAGGGTGATGAGGCACTGGTCAGCTGAGGTCTGGGTGTGACCTTAGATAAAGCAGCATCTCTGGACTGCAACACTGGTCTAGACATAACTTTTGCTTTGACATTCTTGAAGTTTGGTCTTGGGTAACTTATAATTTCCGTTTTTCTAACTTTGCAACCTATTGGGGTATTCGTTTTGGTTGCTGATTTTCCTAAACTAGGTTTACACAGGTTCACAGGTGCCTCCTTCGAGTTTGGTATGTTTTTAAGCCCTCGATTACTCTTCTCGACTTTCTTAGATTTCTCGGTTGCTTCAATCGGTGAAACAGAAAAGGTTACTTTTGTGGGTTCTAGGACTGGTGTTGACATGCATATCGTGCTGTCTGTGCTAATGACCATATCATTTGCATCCCAGGTCAGTCCACATGACAAGCCCACCTTTTGTCCTGGGGGGCTACTTAGCATCAATTCTGAGGTACGATTTTGGGTTTCCAAATCCTTTCCTTTGGAGGCCATTTGTGTGTCTTCAGTCTCAGTGACTTTATGCTCTGGGTTCAGCACTTGGGCTTCGCTTTTATCAAAAGCTGGCACCATTAAAGGGCATTCATCATCAATAAGACAATGGGACACTGTCTCTCTCAGATTTTGGCCCATTTCCTTTTGCCTGTATGAGCTCTGTGAATGTGGTTCGCTATTGGATTCATCTTGGGATAAACAAAAGAACTCTTGTAAGGCAGAACCATTGGGGACTTCCATGCCATGAGAAACTGGTGTTAGAGCTTGTGTCTCTTTTTCTCCAACTAGTCCTTGCTGTGATCCATCTGTGTACTCACTGGTGACCTTTCCTGAAGAACATGGACACCGATTTCCAATATCTGAAACAAAAACCTCACTTTGCATCACCACATCAGAAAACGCTGTGTAAGTCATGTCTTGGGCTTCTGATGGTGTGGCTTGAGGGTTTTCAAAGCTTTCTCTGTCGTAAGTAGTTTCTCTTGCATGCATCTTATCAGAATGGGAAGATGTCCAAGTGGAATAGGATAAAGAAGATGTATTTCCACTTCTCCTACCAGCTGGTGGCAGGCTTCCAGTGGTGTGGAAGGACTGACTCTTTCCGATGGCATGACGTGATATAAAGGTGCAGTTAACTTTATCCACTGTCATATCAAATGTCTGGTTTAGTTCCAAGGAAGCAGAGAAGCCTGTACAGTTCAAATCGTCATTAGGCTTCCACACAAAAGGCAAAGATGGCTCAACACTCTGGCCCTGAACTGCTTCTAGGGAATGACAACTGTGTTGCAGATATTTGGGCTTCTCGGTACCTACAAGTGCAGGAGACTGACAAATGGAATCTTTATGCATATCTAACACCTGCTTGCTAAAGAAATCACTAGAAGACTTTTCACGATCAAATACTTCAACACCCTGAAGGCTTAAAGAAATATTTTCACCAGTAACCACAGCAGGGTTAGTTTCATAATCAACCACCATGTCATCTGGGTTGGCAGAATTCCAATCCACACTGCTGGCTGAGGAGTTTTGTGTAGGTGGTGATTTTGGGTTGTATGCATGAGTATTTCCATCTTCATCACTGGTAAAGAAGGTTTGCAATTCATCTTCTATTTTACCATCTGAATTATCATCAGTCATCCTGAATAGTAACCTTAAACCTCTGCCATTTTATGTCTTCTTCAATTCCTTTTAAATGAGAGGGTGGGAAAAATGGTCTGTCTTCTAGGTTTTTCAGCACAGTTGAAAGTTTTTTAGTCTAAGTTGCTCTGAAGATTAAATGGTTTGTTGTTCCCTGGAAGAAATAAAATGTTTAACTCAAGTAACTATTAGAAAAATTAATAGGCCACCCCTTAGTTTCAATCACTAAGTGATTAGTTTCAACCACTTTATGTTCACATTTAGAACCCACAACTATTGATGTGGGTAACTGAGATATAATTACGCAATCTATCACCCCTTTTCAAGACACTTTTTACATGTGAGGGAATGGGGCAGACTGGAAGATGGGTCATGTCTCGTTAACCCTGCCCCTGACTTTATAACTGATATGCCTCTTCCCCACTCCTAGGGACTTGCCATAGAGAGAAGGAGCTAAATCTGGCAATAGTTTTTCCTTTTTATTGGCTGACAGAGTGACGATTCACCCATATTTGCTTATGATGTCACTTCTCCTTCTTCTAAGGGCACCAGCTCTATTGGATCAGCACTCCACCCTTATGACTGCATTTAACCTTAATCACCTCCTTAAAGGCTCTGTCCCAAAATATGTCTGTTGTCCCAGGATGATTAGTAATCATGTCCCTTTCATTCTCAGAAGGGCCCCCTATTATTTCCACGCAGAGTGATTATTAGACAGACCATGAAAGCCCAGCAAATGAGCTGAAGATCAGTCAAGAACTCATGTTTCTCCTTTGTTTTTATTCCTATCTTAAACATATGTCATTTCCAAATTGAAGGAAAAAAAAGCTGTCGATTCTTAAAGGCTAAAGTGGTATCCTGGTGGAATTCCCTCGAAATGTGAGAGAGTTACCACATGTTATGGACGAAACTGTTCCCCGCCCCCTCTCCAATTCATATGTGAAGCCCAACCCCCTCCTTATGTTAACCATGTTGGAGACAGAGCCTTTAAGGAGGTGATTAAGGTTAAATGCAGTCATAAGGGTGGAGTGCTGATCCAACAGAGCTGGTGCCCTTAGAAGAAAGGGAAGTGACACCAGAATGCTCTCCCACCTTTGATTCATCCCCTCTCTCTACAAAATTAGGGTACACTGAGAAGAGGAGGAGAGCTCTCACCAGAAACCAAACCCTGAAAAGAACCTTAATCTTGAACTTTCCAGCCTCCAGAACTGAGAGAAAACAAGTTTTTGTTGGTTAAGCCATCCAGTGTATGATAATTTGTTATGGTGGCCAAAGAAGACTTAAGTACCACATGACTGAGCAATTCTACTCCTAAGAATCTACTGAAGAAAATGAAAACATGTCAACACGGGAACTTGCACACAAACATGCATGATTCTTAATAGAAGCACTATTCAGGCCGGGCGCAGTGGCTCAAGCCTGTAATCCCAGCACTTTGGGAGGCCAAGGCAGGCGGATTACCTGAGGTCAGGAGTTCGAAACCAGCCTCAACATGGAGAAACCCTGTCTCTACTAAAAACACAAAATTAGCCGGGCATGGTGGTGCATGCCTGTAATCCCAGCTACTCAGGAGCGTGAGGCAGGAGAATTGCTTGAACCTGGGGGGCGGAGCACAGCTGTGGTGAGCCGATTTCCTGCCATTGCACTCCAGCCTAGAAGCACTATTGATAATACTCATAAAGTAGAAACCCACATGTCCATCAACTGAAGAGCAGAAAGCAAAATGTGTTGTTATGCATTCAACAAAATATTCTTCAGCAATAGAAAGGAATGCAATACTGACACATGGTACAATGTGGATATAATATTACACTTGAAAATGTTATATCAAATGAAAGAAGTCAGTCATAAAGGTCTACATACTATACAACACTATTTACATGAAACGTCCAGAACAGGCAACCCTAAAGTGGCTGCTAATTGGGATGATGTTTCTTTTGCGAGTATGTTCTAAAACTATATAATGATGATGGTTGTACAATGTTATATACTGAAAACTACTGAATTGTACACTTAAAAATGAAACCTTTAAAAACACCCACGAAAGCATTCAAATCTAAAACTTTTTGCTTTTTTGAGATGGAGTCTCGCTCTGTCACCCAGGCTGGAGTACAGTGGTGCAATCTCAGCTCACTGAAACCTCCATCTCCTGGTTTCAGGCAATGCTCCTGCCTCAGCCTCCTAAGTAGCAGGGACTACAGGTGTACACCATCATGTGTGGCTGATTTTTGTATTTTTAGTAGAGATGGGGTTTCACCACGCTGGCCAGGCTGGTCTCGAACTCCTGACCTCAGCCTCCCAAAGCACTGGGATTACAGACGTGAGCCACCATGCCTGGCCACCTTTGGGAAATAACTTAAATTTTATTATGCTTTTGGTCAAACTGCAGTGCCTAAGAAAGGTTCAAATGTTCAAGCTAGGACTACAAACAGGTCATTCTGAATTCTACAATGAGGGCTGCGTGATTCATATACTGATGGAAAGTGTAAATTTGTTAACTCTTTTTACTACCGCAAACAGATACACACACACTTGAACTGATTTTCCAATCCTAGTATTCAATGTCAATCCGATGTCACAGTACTGTTGTAAAGAAAAAAAAAATATCCATGAGGGAGTGAAAAAATGTCACTCCATGTGTTAATTCGAATTACTGAATGAAGAGTAGGTCTCATTTTTCTACCTTGCAACGTTTTCTCTGTATTCAAACTTCAGTAGCCTGAATAAAACCAGAAAAGGAACTATGTTAAAACTAAAACGATCAGTTTTCTTCGCTAACAGGGCTCTGTGTGTTTCTGGCCAAGCATCCTGATACCAGCCTTCAATGGAATAAAGAAAGGCTGCAATGTTGATTTCAACAGCAAGTGCACACACACACATCCAAAAGGCGATTTTGAATCCAAAAATGAGGGCTGCATGATTTATATGCTAATGAAAAGTGTAAATTTGTGAACTCTTTTTACCATATAACTCCGTGGTGAAATCACTGAATGGTTTATTGGCAAGAGCCTCAATAAAAGCTTTTATGAAACATAAATTAACATTTTTAATCCTCCAGTATAAAATACATCCAAGCTAAATGTTTAAATCAAGAAATATATTTATTCATTTTTAGGCTTACATGCATGGGATATATTTTCCAGAAGCACTTAAATATGCTACACCTTTCTGCTTCCCTAACAGCTAATACTCAGTTTTAACAGATTGTGGCATAAGCAAATATATGCAAAGTGCACTGCAAACACGCACTTAGCACAGATCGTGGGAACTGTCTTTGTAAATAATTATTAGCTTCAATTAATGTAATTTTTATTACCCAAGTTCCCTCTTCTGAAATACATAAAAGATGATTTTTAAACGTCATATAAATTGAATAAAGGGCTCATATGTCAAAGTTATTTTTCATTTATTTATTTTGAGACGGAGTCTGGCACTGTCGCCCGGGCTGGAGTGCAGTGGCATGATCTCGACTCACTGCAACGTCCGCCTCCCGGGTTCAAGTGATTCTCCTGCCTCGGCCTCCTGAGTAGCTGGGATTACAGGCACCTGCCACGATACCTGGCTAATTTTTTGTATTTTTAGTAGAGATAGGGTTTCACCGTGTTAGCCAGGATGGTCTCGAACTCCTGACCTCGTGATACGCCCGCCTCAGCCTCCCAAAGTGCTGGGATTTACAGGCGTGAGCCACCATGCCTGGACCCAAAGTTATTTTATAAATACGTATATAAGAGGATAAATAACTGTATCACTAGTCCTATGTTTGTTTTTACCAGTTGTCTTTTTTTAAATTTTTCTTTCTTTTGAGACAAGGTCTCACTTTGTCACCCAAGCTGCAGGGCAGTGATATGACTACAGCTTACTGCAGCCTCAACCTCCTAGGCTCAAGTGATCTTCCCACCTCAGCTTTCCGAGTAGCTGTGACTACAGGTATGTGCCAGCATGCCCAGCTAATTTTTTTAAAAAATCTTTTGTAGAAAAGAAGTCCAGCTTTTCTCATTTACAAATAATACTAAACCAAAATCTTCACAATCTTTGACATCTGATCATTTGCCAAATTGCTATATTTAAAAAGGGGGCAGGATTCTCTATAATGTGCATGTTACTATATACGTATATTTTATATATATAAGTTATCTTTATATATTTATATATAAAAATATATAATGTAAAATATATTATACATATAATATACTGAGTTTTACTTTTAAGACTCATATACTGTGGTCAGCATTGCCTCCAAGGCATTTTCCCATGTCATTATAGTATAAAAACATTGTTAATGGTTGTGAAACGCCACTAAAGGTTAAATGTTTTAGATTTACAAGCTAGTGGTTTACAAGAGTAATAGAAAAATAAAGAAGCCATTAACCATTCAACTTTCACATAACTTTTTAGGACACTTGAGTTTATGATTTTTTTTTAATTCACAGAAAGAGGTTGGGTGTGGTGGCTCATGCCTGTAATCTCAGCACTTTGGGAGGCCGAGGCAGGAGCAACATTTGAGCCCAGGAGTTCAAGACTAGCCTGGGCAACACAGCAGGACCTTACCTCTACAAATTTTTTTTTTTTAATTAGTAGGGTGTGGTGGTGCACGCCTGTAGTCCCAGCTGCTCAGAAGGCTGGGGAGAAAGTATCACCTGGGCCCAGTAGTACCACCACACTTCAGGCTGGGTGACAGAGATCCTATTACTATTAAAACAAAACAAAACAAAATAAAACAAATTTCAAATTGGTGAGCAAAGAGACTAAAAAACCCAAAAACATGTGTTCATAAATACTTAAGAGGTGTTTTGATATAAAATAAATTTACTGATATCTCTTCTACTTTGTAGACAAGAGTAAAAAATTAGTGGTACAGAGATTTGGATATCAAAAAGGTTCTGTACTTAAGCTCCTCAGTTCCAGGAAGCTGGAAGATCCACCTCACCATTCATGAAAAGAAAACAATGGCTTTAAGCCACCACCACCACCATGAAGACAAAGCCACGGACAGAAAAGGGGTGACCAGCCTTAGCTCAGGAGTTTGTCAAGAGTTAAAAGTTGGCCATTTTGTTTTACTGCCTATTTCACTTCTCCCCGACTTTAAGAATGGGTCCTAACCTTCCACCACTTGCTAGACACATACATTCTTAGACTTAATCTCACCTGACTCAT